GGTTTCGATGCCCGTGGTGGGCAGAGCATAGATAGCCCATTGTGTAGCTTTGTGCTTAACTTCAAACAAACACAAGTGCGTGTTTTTAATCTTAGCTTTGAATTCATTTTTATGCGCGATTTAATCTTTACATTCCCCTCTCTACGTATCCCAATCTTAAAATTTGATAACACCTGCTCATGCACACAAGCGCCTTTTGTCACTTTATGAAGATTTTTGTGACATTGTAGCTTTCTGATATGCTTAATTAATTAACCCACACGAAACATTTGCATGCCAGTTGACTTCTTAGACTTTAAAGCCTTATTAATAAGTCTGTACGGACCCAAGTTTTATATATCAATTTTCAATTTGTCCTTTTTTTACCTTTTTATCTAAGTAATCTGTTAAATTAACTCCGATATATTTGCTTTTCAGTTTATTATTAAACATCCTAACTTTAAAATTTGCCCTTCAGCAAGATAACGCACACTATAACATAAATTCTGTTATAAATTTCACTTGTTATGTACAATATAAACATTTGTACTAGTTAAATATTTCATTAATATTCTAAATGCTCAAGATCATTTGCTAATTAATGGAAAACATTTTAGTATAAAAATCGAAGCATAGTTCGTAGAATAATTTCAGAAAATGATAATAAGTTCATCGACTGGTGTAAAATTTTCAAAGATCTTTGAATTGGTATTTAAAAGCAGTTTTGACGTTTTTTTTTGTTTACATTATTTAGCCTTACAGCGTTTTAGGTTACTTACCCCACTTTTGACTGAGTCTTCTCTTTGTCTTTCTTTTTTTGTCCTGAAGAACAACTGTTACCCATATTAATTAGAAGTATATAATACGCAAATTGAGGACAATTAGAGTTGTTTTTCTTCTCTTTATCTCCGGTTCAGCATGGTGATGTGAAGGTTTCTAAGCGATGACATCACTCCATATTCTTATGGTTAGCACCTATAGGAATCAACATCTATACTTTAGGTCTGAAAAACATTAAATGTGATGAAAGGAAACATTTTATGTTGCATATACAGTTTATTTTTGCGGAACTAAAAACAAAAATTATGTTATTTGCTATGTAGAATTAACATATATATATATATATATAAATTATGTTATTTGCTATGTAGAATTAACATATATATATAAAAATTATGTTATTTGCTATGTAGAATTAACATATATATATATAAAAATTATGTTATTTGCTATGTAGAATTAACATATATATATATATAAAATTATGTTATTTGCTATGTAGAATTAACATATATATATAAAATTATGTTATTTGCTATGTAGAATTAACATATATATAAAAATTATGTTATTTGATATGTAGAATTAACATATATATATATATATATGAAAGCAATGTCACAATTAAGTCGAATTCCACGTGGAAATATTTGATGAAGGCTATTTTCCTATAGTACATGAATTACAATTTGAACATTTTATTAGATTTGTGTAGAACAATAAAGCTGTTAAGCGTCTTAATTTGAATGCACAGCTATAGTTTAAGGCTGAAAGCAGAGCACAGAAGCGAGTAAGTAACGCATGCAACTGTAAAACGATTTATGTTTTATTATGTATGCACGTTCAGGTTTATACTTTCATCACCTGAGACTTAGTCTAACAAACTGAGCACAAACTATCCCAAGCACACAACTCGGAGCCCCCCAGTGGCACAGCGGTATGTCTGCGAACTTACAACGCTAGAAACCGGGTTTCGATACCTGTGGTGGACAGAGCACAGATAACCCATTGTGTAGCTTTGTGCTTAACTTCAAAAAACACACAACTCGGAAATTAAAAGGCAACGCCAGTTTTCATAATCATATTTAAAGCTGCTTCGATACCGTATAATGGGGGAAATATGTAATTCCTTTACGGACAAAAAAAAAAACACGAAAAAAAATATTA